AGTCTAAAGCTACCTTGGGTAAGCTAAGTAAAAATGTCGGGAAGGCAATTTTGCTTATATCGTAACTATCTAAAGCCCGCTCTAACCATAATTCAAGATGATCATAACCCTAAACTTAATTCGATAAAATATATATTATAAGAATCTACTCCGCTTTAGACGTCCCCTATATTAATCCCGCCAACCGGTTGTATCGGGTCAACCGATTAGGAATTTCCTCAACCGGTTACCCGAAATTTATTCGGTTCGGGTCGATTAACCGATTATGGCTCAACCGATTCAAATCACTAATTACTATGTATTTTAGCCCATATTAATTAAAGTTCTCACTATCATTAGCTTATCCTTAATTGAAGGAGGATGCATGCTCTCTGAATTCATCTCATAAAAATAACATAAATTCACATTCCCTCATGTAGAGTCCCTATCGGATCGGATCGAACCAAACTTTAAGTTATGTTTGAGTTTGGTTTGATTTTCAAACCAAGCCTGAACCAAACTACTTTTTAAAACTCAGTTTGGTTCAGGTTTTATACCGTCTATTCAAATTCGGTAAAAAAAATTTTTTTTTTTTTTAATCCTTCATACTTGCAGAATCAAAATAAAAAAATTTTCATTGAATTTTGATAGATGGGTGTTGAGTTTAAAATTTCAAAAAAAAAAAATTTGCCAAAGATATTTCAAGCTTTATCAAAACATCTAGCGAAGGTTTCTCGATAACCACTAAACCAAATTCAATGAAATTTTTTTGTTTTAAATTTTACAAATATATAGAATCAAAATAAAACGTTTTACTAAATTTGATCGAATGGTTACTGAGAAATCGTCGCTAGAAGTTTAAAGAAATTTAATGGTTTGGCTCCGTCAGCCTGGAATTTTCTTGACATAAGGAAACCCGTAAAAAATAGGTAAAAGGTAAATCATGTGAAATCTGTAAGCTTTCCACAACCTTTTTTTAAAGTTATTGTGAAACAAAGCGTTTCTTGTAAAAGTGCCAAAACGGAAGGTTGTACATTGTGATACGTAATAAAAATACTTTAATCAGATTTTAGATATGTGTACGGTCAAACCTCGATATAACAAAAGAACTTCGATGTAACGAAGAACTAATTCTTTTATAAACTGGGTTTCATCACAGAATAAAAAAGATATAATTTTAATAAATTTAATTTTTAAATAAAACTGAATTTATTAAATAAATATTTTTTATAATAAAAAAAGACTGTGTAGCCATATTATATTGAGGGTTGGCTGTATGTGACCGGAGTTCGACGATATAATAATTAGAACATTAAAATAAATAGTTTTAAACGCATACACAGTTTATAATCGATATATAAAATAATAAATATAAAATGGCAAAAGATATCGGTACCGTTACAGATGATTTAACCATTGTGATAGATACGGCAGAAGAAATATCGAAAGGTAGTGGTTTGCAAACTGTGGTCGGAGGAATTGGAGAAACCATTAAACCCTTTCTTCCAATGATCGCTACAATAACGGGTCTCATTAAAGAGATTATAGAAATATATGAAAAAGCGCAATTTAATAAAAAAATATGTAATTCTTTACTTGATCGAGCGAAATCAGCTGAAGCAGCCATGAGTACTTTGCAAAGAAGAAAACAAGAGAATGAAGAGAAATTTCGTAATCAATCATATTATAATAATTTCATGAAATTTAAAAATGTTTTAGAAAAAATTAAAAATTTTGCGGGAGAAGTGACACAAATTCGAGGGATTAGTAAATACATTAATGCTAGTAGTATTAAAGATAAATTTTTGGAATTAACGAGTGATTATGATAAATGTATGGAAGATTTACATTTTACATTTGTAATTGCTCAAGATGAACAAAGAAGGTATGATCAAGAAAGTTTGGAAACAGATCTGGAAGAAATGAGTGAGGTATTTATATTGTTGTTATATTACTGTAAATCAATATTAATCAATTTTATGGAATAAATGAATATAATTTAACCTAATTCTAATTACGATGAATATTTAGTTTTTAAAACAATTTAGCGAGAATGTTCGAAGTGATTTAAAGTTCGTTCAAGGATCTTTAAACATCCTCCACCAAGAGGTATCACTCATCAAAACCCAATTTTGTCATCCGAAAGAAAAAGAACAAGCAGATACTAACGCGCAGATTTCAGCGCCAAGAATAGATCCAAAATACTTAACAGATGTTGACACCGAAGAAAAACCAATAAAGGCGGTAGCAAATTCTAGCAACATAATGGTTGTAAAAAAATTCTATACGAAATGTGCTATAGCAGTATCGTGCGAGACAGTAATCATTGAACAAAAGGAATTTCAATCACAGAAAAAACAAGGATATTTAGCGATTTTAGGAAAATTAGGAGAATGTCCAAATATTCTTAAATTCTTTGGGGTTTCAACATTAAAAGATTCTTCAACATTGAGAGAACATGAAGTATTGGTTTTCGAATGGGCTGAAATGGGAAATCTAAAAGAAGTTTATGAAAAATATGATATACCTTGGAGAACAAAAATACCTATAGCCATTGATATTTGTCGTGGTATTACATTTTTAAACTCTATTGATATCTTTCATCATGATATTAGATGTGAAAATGTTAAGGTAAGAAATTTAACGCTATAATTAATAATTTATTATATAATTACTGTGTTAACGTTACCAATTACTTTATCTAATGCAAAATTGTCATATCTTAATAGATGACAAGTCGTTTAGAGCCGAAACTAGCCAATTTTCATTTTGCAAGAATGTCGGGAGGTATATCAACGAATCTTGAAGACGGTGTTTTAAATATTATTCATTGGTTAGCACCAGAAAAAATGTATGAACATATGTGCTTAAACGCTAAGAAACGACGATATACACAACAATGTGAAATTTTCAGGTACATAATATTTACAAAAACATATTCTTTAATTTTTCGTAATTTTTGTATAAATATTATTATTTTTATACAGTTTTGGAATGATGTTATGGGAACTATGTTTTGAAAAAGTTCCTTATCATGGTAAAGATATGGGTTATATTACAAATCACGTTACAAAAGGTGGTAGGGAAAGAATTCCGATCTACTCCGGAAGCAAAGAAGAGAAAGAAATCTATTCTGAATTTAAAAAAATTATTAAAATGGGTAAAATAAATATAATAATAAGTTTCAATTTTTTTTTTGTTATGAGAATGAATAATGTACATAACTAAAATTCTTTTTTTTTTAAAAAAAAAAGCCTGGGCTCATGATCCGGACGAAAGAATTTCTATAGGCAAGCTTTATATAATGCTTTCAAATATGCAAAAAAAGTATGTTCCTCCTGGACAAATGCCTGACCTTTTGCCTGATAACGTCTTGAAATTGGATGAAAGAATACCGGAAGAACCAGTAATGTCAGATGACGAAGATCTTTATATTGGTGAAGACGACGAAATTAAAGAAACCAACGAAATCGAGCAAATTCTAGAAGTTGATCAAGGAATTGACCTTCATGTAACAAGAGATCCAGCAAAAAGGAAAACAGCTTGGAAATGTTTTGTAGCAAATGCAGCTAAAGGACATTCTAAAGCAATTTTTTGGCAAGGATATTATTTATGGGAAGGATATTATACAGATACAAAAAGAACATCGGAGCAAACTATGGAAGATCGAAATAAAGCACTTCATCTTTTTAAAACGGCGGCAGATGATGGTATCGCAGAAGCACAACTACGTTATTCATTCGCATTAAAAGAATTAAAGCAGCTCAAAGCGAGTGAGGTATACGAAGAATTCATGCATTACTTGAGATTAGCAGCAGAGAATGGAAATCCGGTTGCAATGTTTAATTTATCTGATATTTACATGAACGGAAAGTTAAAAGAAAAGAAGGATGTAGCGACTGGTATAAGATATTTAAAACTTGCAGCGTTGAATAAAAATGAGAAGGCGATCGCGTTGGCTAAGCAAAGGGGTTTAAATATTTATGACTCGAATTACACTGAGTTGTCCTAACATGTATAATATATAAATTGCGTAAAAAATTGTATATACATAGCGTTGTTAATTTGCCATGTAAAATACTGATTGATTGAGTTTGCTTGGCTAATCATTAGTATTGTAGGGAGCGATTTCTAGTTAAAGTTTTGAAGTTTATTACATTTATTTATCTATTTATTATTCAAAATTGTTTCATCAAAATAAAATTTTTAATTTTTTATACAGTATTTTTAACGCAAACTACTAAATTCCAATTTTATAATAGTCTAACGTTAATGATTTTTATTGAATTTACGTTTTGAAGCATTAGAATAATTTGGGCATTATTATAATATTGGAAGTATAAATTTTCTTGAGTACCATACTGTACTAGAGTTTGAAACCGGTTTTATGTAGTATTAATAAATTTCTTTTAGCATTATTCTAAAATTAATTAATTAATAATAATATCGATATATATATTTTATTAATGGGTCACCCGATTTTCCAAAAAATCGACTTAGCCGGCTAATCTCTAATCGGCTTATAACACTAGTTTTATGTATATACGTAAGTACTTAGGTATTTAGTTGAACTAGCCAACTCTGATTAAACATGAGAAATAAAAAACGGTCCCAAACTCCACATTGTATTCAATATGATAAATAGTGGTATGAAAAGTTATCGTTATATTATTAAAAAGCAAGTAAAATATCAATAGGTATTAGCTTTTCGTGAATGAATGCTAAATTCTGCTTCTTTTATCGCATTATTAGACTGTATTTTAAAAAACAAAAAGAACGATGTATATAAGGTAAGTGCAAAATTATGGCGAAGCTAAGATTATAAATGAGGTTAGTGGGTATTGTGACGTGACGAATTCGAATTCATTCAATCTTTTTAATATCTGAATATTCATCAGCAAATTTCAATTGAGTATTGATGATCATGAAATAGAGTTGTTGATTCGGAACAATAATGAATCAAGACAATGTTATGAAGTTGAATAATTGAAGCTAACAAATGAGTTTTATAGATTTATCTTGCTCATATACTTTGAGCTTATTTAGCATTGTTATTAACCAATCAATATATAAGATTGAATATGACATATGACACCCAATCTTGCATTTAATTGGCCAATTAGATAATATATATTCATTGAATAAAGAAAACAATCATATATTCGGGATCAGACCATCCGGTCACGAGTTTTTTTATATAAAAAAAAAGAATTTTAAAAATGTGACATCCGAAAGATAATATCTCATGACCTGATGATCCAAATTGGTTTACCATTCCGTTTCATCAAGAAGATAATAGGTCATGAGTTAGAACCACATTTTTTGAAAAAGAAAATGTCAATTTGTAGATTATTTGTGATTGGTCAGGTAGAAATGTCCTTCACGTACCATATTTGATATGATTTAACTGTGACATATGATTTACGAAAAATACTATCAAACAAACCAATGATAATTATTTATCATACCTCGATTTCATTGGGAGTAGCGTGATTTCCAATATAGAAATATTAATTTCATATGATGATTCCCAAGTATCACCCCATTAGGCTCATCTTCCTTAATTATTTAATTTATATAATTTATATGTACGAAATTTAACCGTTTCATAACGACAAAACATTTAATACAGTATAAATAAATGCAAATGGTCTATATTTTTTTTTCAACTTTTTTTTTACAAATTCTTCCTATAATAGACTTAGCTCTATATTAAGAACATTTTAAAAATGCTTCGAACGATCATTAAATTTCGTCGTGCTACATTTGTAAGCTTAGGAACGATTACTGCTACTGGTGCACTATCTTACTATATTTATACCGATCACTCCAAAAAATTACATAATTCTCGATTTATGATGTCTCAGGCATATGCTGATGCAAAAATTCCGCCTGTAACTCCCAAAAATTCTCCGCTACGAGTTTTACCATCACGTGATGAAATGATAAATACCCTTAAACGCTCGGGTATAAGCAGCTTTCAAAACCAAGATAATGAAGAACTTGATCTATTAATAATTGGAGGTGGCGCAACTGGAACAGGTGCAGCTTTAGATGCTGCAACAAGAGGATTAAAAGTCGCGTTAGTTGAACGTGACGATTTTGCTTCAGGGACTTCTTCTCGTTCCACGAAACTTATTCATGGTGGAGTGAGATATCTTGAGAAAGCCATTTACCAATTAGATTATGGACAATACAAACTAGTTCGTGAAGCGTTACATGAACGAGCCACGTTTCTAAATATCGCTCCATATTTGAGTCACCAGTTACCTATAATGTTACCTCTTTATAGGTAAATAAAAATACATTATATCGATTATTTCCTTTAATGTTAATATATAAGGGATGAGGTATTATGACGAAGTTGAATGTTTCGGGTCATGCTGCGTGATGGATCGATTTTAGTATCATCTGATTCTTCTCATCGAGCTGAGTTGAGTAATACCAAAAATCATCACTGGATTTCAAAAATTCTGGCCTCAGGGATATTATTACGAATTGGAGATATCTCGTGATCCCGTGAGTAGAATCGGATGAAATTTATGCCGTTTTCCTCTCAATGAAAGGAATCGGATATTATAAATTCATCCGATTCTGATTACGGGATCACACGATAACCTGATTCGTCATAATATCTCCTTTATCATATGGGCGGATCGTGCTCATTTTGTGATATCTAAAAATGACCACATTAAAATAAGTATATATATAATATTATTTCAGCTTATTTAGTTATATCTAAATTGATTAAATTACAATTAGAAACGTGATCATATTTAGATATCACAAAATGAACACAATCCGCCTATATGATATTTAATACAATAACTAGAGTTATTATAACGGCCAAAATCTAACAAGATTTATACCGTCCGATTCCGATCACGGGATCACGATATATCTCGATTCGTTATAATACACCCTTCGCCATAATATCCAAGCCCCCTTATGTTATCTGTTTAAATGTATTTTTCATATGATTTTATTATTTTGTTAGGTGGTGGGAAGTCCCATATTATTGGGTTGGCTTAAATGTATACAATTTCCTTGCCGGAAAAGAAGCTATGGGAAATTCTTATTACGTTAGTCGTGACAAAGTACTTGAAGAATTCCCTTGGTTAAAAAAAGATAACCTTGTCGGCGCTATAGTTTATTATGATGGTTTGTTATATTAAATTTATTTAAGATTGTTATAATTACAATCTTCATTTTTTATTTATTTTATTTATTTAGTTTAAAATTATTTTTAGGTCAGCATAATGACGCACGAATGAATGTTGCAATTGCTTTGACTGCAATTTCACATGGTGCAACTATAGCTAATCATGTTGAAGTAACTCATTTACTTAAAGATGAAACCGAAAAAATAGTCGGTGCTAGAGTTCGTGATAACTTAAATGGCGATGAATGGGATATTAAATCTAAGGGCGTAATAAATGCTACCGGTGTATTCGCAGGTAACATTACATTATTCACGAAATTTTTTAATAGATCGAAAAACATACAAATATACAGTACTAATCATTTTATTTTATTAGATAATATTATTTCACTGGACAAAAAAAAAGATAATATAATTATGCCAGCTTCTGGTGTTCATGTCATACTACCAAATTACTATAGCCTAAGTGGAAAAATGGGAATGTTAGATAAGTCAACTTCTGATGGTAGAGTTCTGTTTGTACTTCCTTGGGAAGGGAATACTCTTGTTGGCACTACTGATTCTCCCTCGGAAGTATCGTTTAATCCTATGCCTAAAGAAAAAGAGATTATGTGGGTTTTAAATGAATTTAATAAATTTTTGACTCCTGGTTGGTTTTTTTCTTTTAATATTAAAACTTATGACATGATACTTAATTTTTCATGTACTTATGTTATTTTTATTTTTTGCAATTATTAGAAACAAAAGTTAGGCGAGATGACGTTCTAGCTGCCTGGGCTGGAATCCGCCCACTTGTCATTGATCCTGAAGCAAAAAATACATCATCTTTGGTGCGAAGTCATATGATCCATGTTAATGATTCAAATTTGATTACTATTACTGGTGGAAAGTGGACTACTTATCGGAATATGGCTAAAGAAACTATTGATAAGGCTATTGAAGTTTTTGGTAAGTTGCATTAAATGATATATATATATTTTTAATCTTTATTTATTTATTTGTTTGCTATTGTATAAAAAAAAAGACTTGAAACCGCTATATGAATGTCAAACAGAAAATGAGAAACTTATAGGATCTCAAGGATATTCTGAAACCATGTTTATTAAACTTATTCAACAATTTGGATTAGATACTGAAGTATGCCTTATCATAATTTAATTGATTTCATAAAGATACCGATACTAAATTTTAATATCCTTATATATATATAATTTTTAGGTAGCAATGCATTTAGCTCATGATTACGGGGATAGAGCATGGGATATTATAAAAATGGCACACCAAGCGAATAATAAGCAATGGCCTGATCCAATAAAAAAGATAAGTTCGCATTACCCATATATCGATGCTGAAGTTCGATACGCTATTCGACAAGAGTTCGCATGTACTTTAGTAGTAAGTACTGAAAACCTTTAAGCAAACATTTATTAAGCCAAAATTTTTACTAAATGACTTTTTTTTTTCTAAATAGGATGTGATAGCAAGACGAACGCGTCTTGCATTTTTGAATCCACAAGCAACATTAGAATCATTACCACATATAATTGAAATCATGAGTGAGGAGTTAAATTGGACTCCTGAGAAGAAGATAAAAGAATATGAAGAGGCGGTAGAATTTTTGAAAACCATGGGTTTACCAAAGTCAGATGAGAAATTGTCTCTTGCAATTGAAAACAAATCACAGGTCAAAAAATGAACTAAATTATTTCTAATGTGATAATTGAAAATACAGTATTATTATGTAAAATATAATTCATAATTTGTAATTTCATTATAAACATTCAACATTATCTTACTCCACATTTCATGTTTATTTTATTAGAGAAGCGTCGTAAATATATAATATGATTTTATTAATTTTATTAATTAGTTTTTAAGAATTAAATTATAATAATTATAATAAAAATTACATATATTACTAGGGCATATTTATTTAATATCATTAATTTTTGACCCTTAAGTTTTCGTTATCGATTGTATAGTAGTTATAATGACAAGCAATTATTCAAATTCTTCAGGCATATACTTTATATGGATTATAAGTATTCACCGGTAGAGTACAAAATTCTATTATAAAATGCCGGAGGTTCCGTTACAGCTATTATCATAATTCCTGGGACACTTGATAAAACTTGCCGAATGATTTTTCGGCCGATTCGGTTAAGTTATTGATTTCGGCATGATCCGTATAATAAAAATAATAAATTAATAAAATTGTATCATAATGATTATTTTACGATTATTATAATAATAATGGCAATGTTTTTAAACACTTGTCCAACATGGTTGGTGTGCTTAGTTTGTATGAAAACTTATAGAAAGACTATTCTTGTCGACCAATAAACCTTAACAAGAAATGCAAAAAAGGATCCAAATATAAATTAGACTTTTATAACAAATATATTACACGAACAGGTGCCACTATTAAAAAAGTTAAAATATGAACATGAATTTGTCAACTAGTTTAAAAATGAATCTCGAGTTAGGATTCCAAGTGACCAAGATATTATTAATATCTGTTGAGAATGCAACGAAATCAAAGTAAAAAATTTTATATATTTATATTTTTTATAGTATTGAAAATTTTAATGCAAGCAATTAAAATTTAGTTCAAAAAAGGATCTAGAATTAAATGAAAGTGTCAAAGCAGTAGATTTAACAATTAAAAATTTTCTATCTGAAGCAGATAGTTTAGAATTATCCGATTTACTCAAAGATTAAAAATAATATATAATTAAGGGCGTTATTTTTTGGCGACCTGTCGCTGCGGCGACCCGTGATCAACCAATCAAAGCCGATCACGTGTATTTTTTATTCTTTATAAGAGTTTGGAACCGGTTTTATTTTCATATATTAAAACCGATCAAACCGGATTTAATATAAAAATAAAACCGGCTCCAAATAATTCTTCATTTATTTTATTTTTTTTTACTTGTTTTATTTAATTTATTTAACTTTTTTTTTTTACTTAATTTATTTAACCTAATTTATTTATTTTTTTTTTAATAAATGCTACCAAATTAAAGCCAGGAAGTGTGTATTGTGTTAACACAATAGCACTTTCTCAAAATCTAACTAACAAACTGCCTAAATGTCTCTAAGAGAAAAGAAGCTTGCACATAGAATAAAGAAACTTTCTTAAAAGCAAATAATATATTGAACTAGCAATTTCTTGAGCAGTTTGGAATTTTAGAAAAATTTTACAACTTTTGGCACAAAAAGTGGGAATTAAGCAAACCCCTGATAAACAGATCACTGATTGTTACACCAAAACAACAAACAGCAACGCATGTTTCTTTTAGTACAAGTAAACAAATAAAGATGCAGGTAAACAAACAAAAAAAAGTAGACAAACAAACAACATAGATAAGACACGTGTTTAGTCATAACAAAGATGACTAGAGTAGTGGATTTAAAGAACTTTTATAGCAACACAAAGAAACAAATAGAAAGTGTATACAGAGAACAAAAGCTTTTAACTCTTAAGATAGATAGAGATATAGCAAAATTTATGGGGGCAAACCATTCAGAACAAATCGGCATAATCCATAGTTTAATAGACAGCTATAATTGGGTCCAAGCTAAAAGACATAATGGACAAGAAGTATCAGAAATAGAATCACAGCTTATAAGTAAAAATATAGCAGATTATACTACTAGTCACAAAGCACTTCAAACTGCAAAAATAAATATAGATACAAAGTCTCCGGTTTCAGTATTAGAAAAAAGAGAACACAATGAAAACATGCAGAGCAGCTTCATCACAAAAAAGAAAGAAACAAAGTATATAAGAAATGCTGAATTGAATTTTAATGAATCTGATAAAGAATTACTAAGTCAGTGCTATGATGAAAAAGAGGATTATAAATTTTTATTAATTTTTTTAGAGAGCAGAACACCAGATCATGGTACAGAGGATACAGTACGATTAATCTCGTTAGCAAAAAGTTTTAATAGTATGCACATAGAAACAAAACAAGACATAACTAATATTGAAGAGCAAGAGTTAGAAAGACAAAATACAGTTAAAGTAGAGCAGCCTGAAGAGGTAAAAGAATTAAGTAAAGAAAATAATATATATAGTTTGATGTGGTTTCCAAAATATAAACCATCACAAAACAAGCACTCAGCAAACAAGAATAAATACTATGAGAGAAAGAGAAAACTAGAAGTATACTCTACAATTTGGGACCTTCTATTTGGAGTAAATGCAGCAAGAATCAAAAGATGTCTTAACTAATATGGCAGAGTAGAAATAATAGAATAGCGCACTCTAAAAAAAGCAATAGCGATATATATAAAAATTATATGTAAAAGCGAGGAGCAAAAGCAAAATTTGCAGAATGTATGGGCAATCTATTTTGAAGAGGGGAAGATAAGCAGATTTACTATGAGCAGATTTGATACTGAAGAATTAAGAACAAGAAAAGAATACAGACTAATGCTAAAAAATATTTTCAATTTGGCGTCTGAATCAGTATTACTTCAACAATTAAGAAGGTTCAAAGCAAAGATGATATACAAGCTTAAGAATAGCAACAATAACCCAAGTGGAAATGCATTGGTCTACTTTGCTTCCTTAGAGGACCTTAGAGCAGCAAAAGCATCAACACTGTACTACTTTCACAATAGACTAGAGTGGAGCGAAAACGAACATTATAAATTAGCAAAAAGTGCTTTTGTTAAAGAAAACCATAATATAGCAAAAGTAAAATATAAAAGTGAAAATAATAACTTTGTATACTCAAGACAGCAGGGAGAAGAGAGCAGACAGAATCTTAAAAGAAGAAGATTACCTAGCAGCAACAGTATACAAAAAAGAAGTAATGTCAGATCTCAAAGTAGTACAAAAAAGCCACTTAGGGAAATAAAAAACAATAGCATGAACAAACAAGAACACCTTTTAAATAAAGTATCAACTGGTGCAAATAGTGTAGCAATAAATAAGAGCAAAAAAAGGCATTTTGAAATAAATAGAGAAGAGAAACTGGAAAAAATATTAGTAGAGATGAGAGAAAAATTTAGGGCAATAGAGGACCTTTTTGCCCAACACTCCTAGAAGATGCTCCAGTTGAACCAAAGATATTGAGGAAGGCAAAACATCTCACAGCTGCTGTTCAAGAACCCAATAGATTAGAACAAAGTAGGAATCTTGTAGAAAATAAAAGCTTTGAGTCACTTAAGATAGGGTTTTACAATATAAATAGGCTAAAGTTAAATGAACAAAAATTACTAGCACTAGCAAAAATAGACAAAAAAGAAGGGTTAGATATAATAGGGTTGGCAGAAACAAATATAGGTAGTAAAGAAGAAAAGTGGATAAATATATTGCAACAAGGATATCATAGTTTTTGGTTGCCTAAAGAAGAAGACAAAAGTAAAGAGTCAGGAGTTGGGGTGCTAGTAAATGAGAAGTGGTTAAAGTATATAGGCAAAATAGCTAAAATCAGCCCATACGTACTTAAAATAAAGTTCTTTTTTAAGAAGTTAGTAATACAAGTCTGGGTACTATACTTACCATCAGCAGATAAAAAAGTTAATAAAGAAACTCAACAGACAATAATTAGAGAGATCTGCAGTAATAAGATAAATACATATATTTATATAATAGGTAATTTTAATGCAATAAGTGATACAAACTTGAATACAAATAATGCCAATTATAAAAATTAGGGTTTTGGTAAAACATTAATAGAGTGGCTTAGAAATAGGGACTTTATAGATACTTTTTGATATTTAAATCCATATAGCAAAGAGTATACTTGGCAAAAAGAAAAATCCTTATCAAGAATAGACTATATATGGGTAGAAGAAGAACTACAAGACATACTTGTTGAAACCAAAATTGATGAGGTGGACATAGTTACTGGCAGTGACTATAAGCTAGTTTGGGCGAAAATAGAAACTAGCAGTTTTCTTACATATGGCAACCTATGCAGAAAAAGAAGAAAAAGACCAAAAAGAAAAATTTTTCTATATCACAAAGCTATAAAAGAAAATTGGGATGCATATAGTAAGTGTGTAGAGCATGCACTATATAGTAAAAAAGCACATGTTGCTAATAAAAACCTACAAAGTAGAGAAAGCAACATAGATGAGGAATAAGACATTATAAGTAATGCAATTTTACAAGCAGCATACAAGCACATACCGTGGATTAGTATAAAAAAACAGAGATATAGAAGAAAAAAGCTATCACAAAATACAAGATTTACAAAGAAATTAAATTTTTGTATCAGTTGCAAAAAATAAAACAAGCTCATGCAGGAGAAAAAATAAGTACTTTTGACAACTCAAGCTCAACTCTCGAATAGAAGAGATAAATCAAAGGCATCAAATACAAATCCCACAACTTCCAGAAGCTTGGAGTTAGGTAGAAGTGAAAGAGCTTAAAAATTGGGGTAAAGTTTTAAGGAAAAAAGCAGAAAAAGAAGAGCGACAATCTAAAGCCAAAGAAATTCAATATAAATCAAACAGAGATTTAGTATGATGAGCAAAGACAGAAAGAAAATGCTACAAAGTCTGCTAAATAAACCCTACAACAAAGTAATATTAGATAGAGTGCTCAAAGAGAAAACTGCATACTATCAGAACCAAGAGCTTGTAAGTGATTATTATGAAGTAAAACAACAAGTAAATAGTCATTTTCAGAAGCAGTTTAGAAAAAGATCACAAAAATTTGAA